TATATATATATATCACAATTAAATGTTAATGCAGGGTAGAATGTGGGTTTGGAAACAGATTTCTATAAATTGCATTCAGACGTCTCATTATGTCTGTAGCCAATCACACAAGCCTTCTGTGTCTACTAGTCAATTATATGCCAGATTTCATTATCCCATTGCAAGTCACATGACTGATGAGGCCTGATGAGCCATGTCTATATGTACATGAGCCGTTTTTGGCGGAAGTGACGAACTGCAAGCTTTGAATGCTTATATCTTCTAAATGCGAATGTTGTCACTGTTGGAGCACACTGCCTTATAGATAACCTTAAGACTAACATATTGATACCAACACCCAAAAAACTTTAATTCTGATTTCATGGGGACTTTAACGTAATTTATTTCTGTGATGCAAAGCTGAATTTTCAGCATCATTACTCCAGTCTTCAGAGTTGCTTCAGAAATCATTCTAATATGCAGATTCGCTGTTCAGAAACATTTCTGATTAGTATCAATGTTGAAAACAGTTGTGCTGCTTATTGATGAGGATTCATTGATGAATAGAAAGTTCAAAAGAACAACATTTATTCGAAATAGAAATCTCTTGTAACATTATAAATGTTTGTACTGTCTCTTGATCAATTTAATGCATCCTTGCTGAATAAAAGTATTAATATCTTATGTGAACACAGAAAGAAAAGATGAAATCAATACTATTTTAACATGTAACTGTAATGTGTTTTGATATTTGTACAGGTAGAATAACACATATTATTTGTCACTTTCAAACAGAAACTGATGATATAAAGAACAATTCTCCTAAAAAGCCCCTGAACATAGAGAAGAGGAGAACAGCTATATCTTACAAACTACAGATACCAATATATATATATATTCATTATAAATGATAAAAAAAATCTTAATCACTAGTATCACTACTAACCTTTGAGAAGAACAAAATATGTTAATGAACAATAGGGATGTATCTATTATTTGTGTCTTATATTTATGTACTTCTGATGCCTTTAAAAAAAAAAAAAAAAAAAAAAATTTTATTAAAAAAAATAATAT